TGATTGTTAGATTTGTGAATGCATGCGTGCTACCCCACTGGTTGTATTGCTCTCCAGGAATTTTTCCCGGTATGTTGAAGAAAGACTTTCAATTACAGGCGAGATCTCTGAAACACATATTTAAATGTAGTGGCATTGTCAGGGATAAACTGGTCGATTCTATCATTGACAGACACCTAAAATCATGTAAAAATTTCGCCACCAAAATACTCTCAGATACTCACCACCCATTACACAATAAATTTTCAAAAGCTGTATCTACATCATCCACACGGCAAGATTTCAACTTTTATTTGCACGTACCTGTGCTTATCGCAATTCTGTTCTGCCATATCTAGCACCGTCTAATATAGACAAAGGACAAAATTTCCACAGAATTGCGCAACCTCTTGCTTCATTGACAAATACCTCATTGCTTTCAGTTTCATTATGTAATGATTTTGTAAATTTGAATCCACAAATATGGTGTAATTGCTGAAAATACACCCATCCGGGTGCATGAAGCTACTACTGACTTGATTTGATTTGAACAAAACAGCATTGGCTGCCTTGTTTCTCCGACGTCTCAAACTATGATACAGACGTATCTCTTCAAACAACGACGCACTTCTCGCTCTCACGGTTGAGAATTTTCCAGTCTTGAAATGACCCATCTTTCTCATTTCATTACAGATGCGGATAAGCTATCGAGAAAGTACCGGCCACCTGTGACGCGAGGCCATTCATATACTGAAGCGAACTTGTTGTATAAGAGGTTCACATTTTGGTGTTTGGAACCGGTGTAGATTTCTTTTCCGCTCTGTCATCATTAGTGAATTCATTATTCGTGAATCACGAAGCTTCCGTTCTAGCTCGCTCACCCTCTCTCTCTCTCTCGCTCGATTGGTGTGGGTGTGGGTGTGTACCCTCCCGCGTGTGGTGTGGGTTGATTCGGTTAATGGAATCCGACCTTCATACAATGAACTATGCAAATGACCTCTAGGATAACCGAGGTAGAGTTCGTGCGTAGCGAACTATAATTTAGGTGTGCAGACTAAACGCGATTCGGTGCGATTCGTACGCACCAACCGAACCAATTAGCGTGTGTCTGTGCTATTTTTTCAATGACTCCTAAGTCGGGTGTGCCGTGCCAATCTCATTCGCCTGGTAATTGACATTCGTTACCAAAGCAATTATGTTTTAGCGAAAAATAACTGGAGCCACCTGGACAAGGAGCCGGAGCTGGATTTTTTAAGAGGGCTACACGATTTCCGGTTGGATCATTTCAATCTGCCGTGTTCTGCACATTTTCCGGGATGTCCCACGGCGGTCAGTTCAAACGTGAGGTTGTGTCCCGTTTCTTATCGTGTAACAGTCACATGTATCAGTGCAATTCATGGTCATTCACATCTGACTCACAGTTACTTGTGAGTAGTGGTGTTAAGTAAGTCATACTGATTTGAATGAAATATTCATCGGACTTCATCTTCACGCACATAATCCTCAATTCATCCATTCAACCATACACTTGGGCAGATAGTAAACTGTCTCCCGACATTGCTGTCGGGTGAAAATGAACTTACTGATTACCATTCTAGGTGACACCTGGACAAACGAATTGGCAATTTGTTTCAGCCCTGGTATGAGCTGGTTGGCACATTCGCAATGCACACGTTTTCCATGGGTCTGGAGTTCAAAGCCCGAGCAAAAACGTTGACTATGCACTACTGACGAGGTCTAATAAGAACGAAACATGAGTCTACAGATTTCAGGTGTATAGTTAACGAGAAGAATGGAAAATTGTTTGTGCAGGTGATGTCCGAACGATAGTCCGTTCAAATCACTTCTATTGACCAGACAATGTAATCTGCCCAAAGAACCAATCATTGAAACGACGGCTGAGCGAAGTTCATTTCATCGCTTGTTGCTTTCATTCGTATTCACACACAACGTGATCAGGATCACTTATATCGAATCTTCCAAAGCTGATGCATCATTTTGTTCTTGATAATTTCTCAGCAATTCACGATCCGGCAATCAATTCAGCCAATATGATGATGATTACTCAGACTACGTCCATCTGTTTGATATTCCCGTATTGCCTAAAACTCATCGCTTTTCCTACTGGTATTCGGGATAGAAAAAGCCACGAAGACAGATTACACCGCTAAGATAAGAACCAGCGAAATGATCAATCATGAATAAACTTCATCAGTTTTCTCTCATTACTTGGAAAAATAATGTTTATTTTTGTTCACAAATTAAAAAACACATTCCACCTCGGAGGTCACATGGTAAAACAGTATTCTATTTCCGACATGAACAAAATGGAGTATTTCTTCTGGCAAACGTTTGGCAAATCGAAAAAAATTAACCCCAAAAACCGTTATCCATAATCTGTTAGTTTTCCGATCCCATGGAGAAAAGTGACATAGAACAATACCAAACATATTAAGTAACCTCGTGTCTTTCTCTCCCGCGGCAGGGCAACAGACCGAAAACATACTGGACTAGGAAACTGATTTGAAGGTGGTTATGTTTTATTGGGTGCATCATATTGAAGGTAACCAAATTATCTAGACTTCATCAATTATGTGAGTTTGTCCCTGAATCAATTAACCGATCGAGGTGATCAGTGGTTATTATTTGGTCCTGTTCGAACTGGTTACAGTAAGCAGAGTAACACGGTGAGTATAGAGCGTCGGGTATTCCTTTTTGGAGTACGTGGGTAGGACTGTACATAATGTCTGATTTCTAGCCCATTGGGTTACAAACAACTTTTGGTGAGCTGTCTAGCCCACCTCGCGGGGAGAATTTGCAGTCCAGAGACGTGAGATTCTATAACCGTCCGATCCACATGAGAGACTCACTCTAAAAACGACTATTTGGAACCACGAAAAATCGAACTCAAACAGATAGCCGCGTTCATCAGGATTTCATTTGAAACAACTAGGTTTTCGGAAGTCCTGGAAAACCAGCCTCTTTTTGGCAGTATCTCTGAGAGTCAGGTCAGCTAGCAAACTATTCAAAGATCAGCGGCTAAAGGATAAGGATAAGCTGACTCTCAGTCCCAAACCTTCCTTCCGCAACGGTATACAAGCATGCGTTGCGATCGTTGAATTGAACAGTGTTCAGTTATTTCCAGTTATTTTCAAAGGAATTATGTAAAAAAATTGAGCAGTTCTAACTTGCAACACCGAATCAATACATTGTGGGGCTCCGATTGCCCCCAGAGGACGTGTTCGTTCGCCAGTTTCTTCACAGTGACCTCAAAATCACCCCCACTCGCCAAGAAGGTTCGGAAATTCACTGAGGCCTTGGAAGCAGTTCTTATTGAGAGATCGGAGTTGTACGAGTGTGATAACACGATTCGGACCCATCTGGTCAGAAAACATGACTTTTTCGTCTGTGTTATAAGCATAAAGATCACTCCCAGGATTTACCACTTTCATTCACAGACGTTTTCGTGCATAATTTCACTTTTCCTATGATGAGCATTCCATATACAGCACCACTCGTCTCATTTTGTGCTTTATCAATCGAGCCCTTTGTAAACATGCTCGCTCATTTGCGACCAGTTTGAACAACTGGCCAATGATACCCTTTTGTCCAGTTGATCAATGCATGCAACACGGTCCGAAGAAGTGCACAACAAGAGAAGAAATTATAGTTCACGTTTCCAGTGTGAATAAGAAAATTTCATGAACAGCGTGATCAATAAGTTTTTTATCGACTGAAATCGAGATGTATTTTATTGAGCCCCTTTTCAAGTCAATCACTGCCAACCAAGTGGTGGTTTTACTACAATGGTGAAATGAAAATTTCTCTGGAGTGGAGAATTGCGATTTCAGGTAATAGTACAAGATTCCCAATTGAACGTTCTTTGTTCTAGATTGTGATTCAAGTTTTTGACTGGGAATTTCTGAATTCTGAACATGCAAAATGGACCAATGAGGAACAGAGGAATACGAGATGTAAGAATCGAAATACGGGACAGTTTAGTTTGTTAAATGGAACTGGGGACCATTCAGTTGTTTTTCGTTTCTGCGACCACTTCGTTTTTGATTCAGTCCACTATATATTGAACAAGCCTGATAGTGTGCGGTTTCATTATTGTCTGATTGCATCTCTAAATAACAGCCCGTTCGTGATTGGAAGTGTAGACTACTCGTACGTAAGGCACATATGTTACTCCTTTAGTCAAGTTCACCTTCGATCTTACCAAAATAAAGTTCATTTTCCCACTGACAACTGTGTGTTGAACGTGTGAGTTTGGTCTGTATTCGATACTCACTCTGTTGATTCGCCTAGCTAAGCAGGCCAATCAATACAAATGTTCCACGGGTATCCACTCCGACACCAAGTTTGCACACACAGATGTATACACATATACACACGGTCATCACGAGTATTGAAGACAGGAAATCATTCTCTTTATAGGCACCAGCTCTGACTCGCGCGCAGCTTTATACATTCCCATACATCCGAATACAGAATGTTCGCTGAAAAATAGATGATCCCACATCAATCCTGTGACACGTTTACCAATGTATCAATGTATCAATTGATTATGTACCAATTTTTTTGATTTTTAAGTTCCGACCAATTTTAATGGAAAACCATTAAAAACATCCACTGAAATCGTACCTAGAAATCAATCAATCGGTCAATCAATCAGTCAATCGCTTACCATGGCCACTGGGATGAAGATGCAAATGAACAGCTTTCCGAGTGCTGTGTGCGTGACGTAATCACCATAGCCCACGGTTGATAAAGTGACCAGGAGGAAATAGCATGCTTCAAAATACGACCAACTTCCATCGTGTGGTGTGTCTTCCCAGAAATCACCCAAGTGTTCAATCTACAGAAGAGAGAATCACAGAGTAGAGATGCAGTTCAACGGAACTAAGGATAATATTGTCGCTTCACTCGCCTCTTTCTGGATTAAATGACTTAACTTATCCACTGTTTGCATACGATTGTTCTAGGCATATACTGTAAGCATTGTGATGAACAGCACTTTGTTGTATTTATTTGAGATATAACTATTATTACTACTACTACTACCACTACTACTAATAATAGTCACTTCAATACTGATACCCTTTTCTTTTGGACCGTGCAGTGTGATATTGTGACTGCTGTGCCGGTGCCTGTGCTCGACTCAGACTCACCACATGCATCACTCCACTACCCACCANCACCATCCACATGGTGAACAAGGCGAACAGAATTCGAGCAGATTGAATACTCCGATTGGATTTGATCACTCCCAGAAATGTCAGCACGTCCACATAGTTGAAAATACAAGTGGCACGAAGAAAGTTCAGATCTGAAAAAGAAAAAAGAAAACCCGTGAGAAATGTTGACAAGGACTGGAGGAAGCTGATATGCGGTTTGCATGAAAACAATCGGGAGATCGGAATTGAGATGTCGGAATTCAATCTAGGGATTTTATTGGGTCTTTTGGTCTTATCCGACTACGATATAGATAATGTTTGTTTGGTTCCTTGTAATACTGTACAAGGAAATCAGTGCATGGAAAGGAAACAAACGAGACTGAGAAGTTACACAAATAACAATGCGGCTGTCACATATCCTAATTGACCGTTGATTAAATATCGGGATATAAATAGTTGCCACCACTTGCGCATTTTTTAGGTTAATATTTCGTACCAATCAGCAATATAAAGAAAGTATTCCTTCCTTGATTCAGTCAGTCAGTCAGTCAGTCAGTCAGTCAGTCAGTCAGGCAGTCAGTTACTCATTCTGTTTATCGGTGCGTCGGAGCGTCCGTTTGTCTGCCTGTCTGTCTATCATATAACTACAGCTGGGCAGTTAAATATCCTCTTCTCAAATTCGTGCACCAATCAATCCTCTATTTGATGAAATCTATCTGTCGCAAAGCGGCATGTTCTCCTTCCATCTGTTCACCTAATTCCAACACTTTCAATGACCATGGGATCTTTCTGGCTGGTAGAAATTTTCTTCATTACACACATTCAATCTGCGGGATGACACGTTTTAAACTATATCATCCCATTGTTTTCTTCTCTTCTCATACCCACACGGAGTAATAATTTTTACCCAGACAATCAGTCAGATAACGATTGGACAAAATTAGTAATAAATGCCCCTCACAATCTGCTTTCTCGAACGAGAACCGTCAAGGTTCAACTCTGGATATGTTCTTTGCTGAATCAGGAATGACAGATCTAACTGAATGAATTGACTTGTACTGCAGGAATTTATCGGTATAAGAATGCCCGTCCCTGAACGCTAATCGATACTTTTCTCGTTCCTTTCAACTTGTATCATCACACAGATTGTTTGTTACTCACAATGGTATGGACAACAACGAGCTCTCCTTTCCTGGAATGGAATGGATGAGCAAAACAAGTCTATTCATGTTTCCGAGGGGAGGGGTGTGGGAGGGGCAGACAATTAACAGTACGCATGAGCCCGTTTTTGAATAAAAGTCCTATTTCCCCGTCTACTTTCCTGAAAGTTCTCATTCTTCGTCTCGCCCATGATTCAACCCGAAAAATACCGAGGGATTGTGACTTTGTCGGCATACGGAACGTAATTGTTCAGTGATGCACAATGATTGTGTATGAACAGCGTAGTTCGTTCTCATACCTACCTCACTGTAAGTGCCCGTAATTGTTACGTAAGACGTGTAATTAAGTAAATTTGGGTCCACATTGTTCCTGAGTGCAGTAAACTGTTTACATAGCTTTTTTAAATTAATTGCACTTCAACGATACAAAATTTGACTGTGCTTTTCGCTGTTATACTTTCTTCCAGTTCACAATGCAGAGGAATCCTAAATTCGTGTAGTGCAGCAGAAAAGCAATCCAACATGTCAGCGTATCCCTTTTTACTCTAAACTGGATTCACTAAATTTTCTCAATATCAGATCCAAATTTGGAACGGATGTTATTGAAGTAATTGTGCGTCATGCTCATGGTATTAGATCCGTGAAGGAAAACGTTTCATTTTCATTTTTCATTTTGAACAAACTGTGTTACTGTTTATAAATCATCCTTTGGAAAATTAGACTCGACAGTACCTAGTTGTTGCAATTCACCGCGTAGTGTACGTTGATACTTGCTAGTATACGTTTGTCTGTCTGTCTGTCTGTCTGTCTGTCTGTCTGTCTGTTTGTCTGTCTGTCTGTACTTTCTGTTCTTCGCGCAGCAGGACTAAAATGTGAACTACAGTAGTTTTAAAGTTTTATCATCAAAACGTGTACTCAATTTTATTATAGTCATCTTCTCCAGTGATGCTTGCTGACAACAATGCTTTCAATGACTATAATGATTAATATTTACCCCCGCTTCTCACATTACAGGTTCAATTGTGGTCGAATTTTTATGACCTTGTACCAGTTCACCGGATTCGCCCATTGCTAAGATTGATTAGTCAATGTGAATAGAGATGAGTTACGGCGCGGTTGAGTACAGGACGAAGACCTGTATACTAGGATGACCAGAAACTATCCGATTCCTCTTTCCTGTAATGGAAAACCCAATACAATCCATCGAACACCTCAAATCATTCGTCGGTTTGAAACAAATCTGCACTAGTCAAGGTTTGAAAATCGCCAATGAATAGCCACGTCCACATCGACTTTTACTTTATAAAATTCGAATACTAAGTTGTATGGTATAGGTTATAGATCAAAGTCAATTTCCAATTACTACTTAATCCCCGGTCGAAAAGTCGGCCTTTACAAGTGTGTGCACCTTTTGCATTCACGGACTGCACAATGTTCAATCGAAGCAGCCTAACAGTCTTTCTTCACGATACAGCAAATCTCATTCTCAAAATGAAACATTTTTATGTTTCAACAACTGATCCAACTGACACAGTGAACACAGCTCATACAAGTCCAGCACTAATCAATGAAATTTGAAAACATTTGAACCAATCATCCACGGAGCTGTATCGGAGCGTATGAGTCACTCACCTGCATGTCTGTGGGATTGGAACACGGCCAGTAGCGACATTGGAATGACAACCAGGTCGATTAATGAGGAGAAACTGAGCAAGAATCGTATTCGATCCGTAGCGGCACAAAACTGTTGATAATAATGTGGGAAGTGTGTTATCAGTCGGTCTTGAAGATATGGTACTGGGAAAACAGTTTCCTCTTTCATGTATTTATACGAGTTAAAGAATTTTGCTAACATACGGTCCTGTGTGTGTGTATGTGTGTGTGAGTTGCAGGCTCTTTTTTGGGCCAGCTTACCTCGAGGTACCCCAAAAAATTGATTATCATTTAACGTTCATAATTATCGTTACTAAGTAAAGGACAAAACTCTGTATGAGTGAGTGGCCGGATTGCATATTCTGTTACTTATACGGAAACACGTATGTTCAAGCGGAAGATGAAGAAAGTTCAGATCAGAATAGATCACATTAGGTTATGTATATTCCACAACTACGTCTAAAAACTAGTTTATCTCTTGGAGAAATAAAGGAGGGGAAAGGGCGTCGTAGAAACCGCATCCGACTGTTTCTGGCACGTGTCGGAAGATTATTCGGCCACATTTAGATCAAATGGGAATTCGTCGTGTTTAGGGCAAATGAAGCGTGAACTGAAAAGCTAGGAGGCACTGAACCCAACCAGGTCGAAACAGCTGTCCAGTGCTTCCTAGCGTTTCAGTTCACGCTTCATTTGCCATATACACATTTTAAAATTTAATCAAATCCTTCATTACTCACATGAAACGTTTAGATCAGTTAGATACATCCGTGTAGTTATGAGGACTGAACAAGATGTTTTCTGATGCCCACTGCATTTTCTCGAAGTATTCTCCAACAGTGTTCATGCAGGGCCATTTGTTAAAACAGCTCTACTATGCCAAAGCGGATAACCCTTCGATAAGTTCAATGAAGGCCTCCACTGGAGCTGTTGGTGATTCATATCGGTTTTTTCACGCATCACGCGCTTGTCATTTGCGATGAAAATGTCATGCAGAGCCAGGTTTGGACTGTAGAGTGAGTGACCAACTTACTGGATGCGTTCTCTAGCCCGAAAATTGCTGACGATATGGTACCTGTGTGCAGGTGCGTTTTCATGGTGCAACAAGGTCCTTCGTGCTCGAGTCCATGGACGAAGCCCGACAGCAGCTTCCACAACTGTCATGCCTGAATTCCGCGAATCCCTCAGACACAGTGCTTCTTGAAGGCACGTCATCAATAAAGGCAGCTCGGGAACGATCAACACTCTGTTACTGCTTTAAATCATATTTGTAGTCGTAGAGAATCATCTCCCTTCAATAACATCGACTCAGTTTCATTCCTACAGTTTGAGGATAGCGACCCTCGTATGACTTGTGAGCTATGCTTGATTGTATTGATATTTGGTTCTATGCGAATTACAATCACACCGAAAGATATTCACAATAGGTTATGGTTCACGTTTTCCTTACCTGTTCATCTGTGTACTCGGAAACGTTTTGCTCAGTCCTTGTAATTCACTTCCTTGACAAGTGTTTCTTTGTACTAGACTCGAGTCCGCAGTGTCCAATCCTGGTGGTTGATTGGACTCGCACTCACGAAATTCCAATGTATAATGTTAAACACAACGGTACACAGATGTTAAAGGTCAATTTGTCGAGGTGCTTAGAACCTTAGACGGAATAACACAATTGCGGGAGAAGGAAAATCTGTTTTTCCCCCCCAAAAAAGTTTACAATCATTATTTAGAAGGTGGCTGGAGATCAATAAAATGATGTGATACATAAAGTAGCAATGTGGAGCGACTCTCGCGGGATTCGATTACACAGACAGTGAAACTTACAGATGATGACATTAGTAAGTGACGGAAAAAGCTTCCACTCACCGGAATTAGTTGACAGATGGCTAGACAAGTGAACCTAATAGAAAAAGTTTCCCAGTCAATGTGGACCGATTCATTACTGGGCTATTCTCCACAAACTGGATTTTTGAGCGCAAGAGACATTTGCAATGATTATGTTTCGTAAATTTGCACGATTGAAATAACACAAAGGTTAGAAAAAAGCAATTTTTAATAGCAAACCACAGTATGAATATCATTCAACTACCGTGAGAAAGTGATACATTGTATTCCAGTATTCATTCGCATCCACGGATGATGTAATCGATCACTGAAAATTTTTGAACGAGGAAACATCATTGCCATTTTAAAAAAAAACGTGCATTCAGTGCATTCCCAAATAAAAGGGAGGTTGGTTCCAGCCACTTTTAGAACTATCAAATTGATGTCATTATTGGACTGAAAAAATTTCAACTCATATCACTGTTCTGGACCAGTAAAATAGAATCACATTCAGTCAAACAAAACAATCTCAAACAAGTCGAAACTCACCCTTAGAACGTAATAGCCCAGACAGAATAGATTGATAATAAAATTTAACCAGGCGAGAATTTTCATCTTGAATGTCAAACATCGACCTTTGCGGCTGATTGGCGGTTCGCTGAAATCGATTTGAATCAAAATCAGGAAAAAAGACAAGGATGATGAAGACAATGAACAGGTGCTGAAACAGTAACCTATTTATCAATCATTGAGAGACAAAAAGTAGAATTGGATACACATTTTTAGAATTAAAAACATCGCTACTCCTCTCTCACTCCCCATCCCCCTTCAACGCGGCCGGCTCCACCTTGTTCCCGGTGTTCATTGATTTGACCAACTATAGTATTAATCTAGAAAGAGTTTCTTCTACAACACAGTATCTCATGGATAATGTGAATGGAATAGTTCCGTTGGATCAATTACAAAGTTTATCAGGTGAACCTCTGAGTAAGCACAGCCGAATTTTCAGTCTGGAACCTGTGTTACGATATAGACATGAACGTTATTTACAGCCAAACTAGGCATAACCCGTTAGCCTCTCTAGGTTCCGTAGATTTTAGAAAATCCATTGATTACAAAGCTGGTGATAATTTTCCCATATGTATCTATTTGAGCCACAATCGAATTCGAAGCAAAGTAGGATTCCACGATGCGGTCACAAAAAAAGGAAATGAGCTGAACCTGAATGAGAGCGAAGCAAATTTAGTAAAATCACATAAATTTAAATTGCATCGATGAGGACCACGTTTATGAGACTTCAGATCAAGCGGATTATTCACTGTTGGTGCACCAAAGTTAACCTGAAGCATCAATGAGCATACCACTCTTATACGCATCGTGATCTCGTTGAATCCGATGTATCGGGTTATCTGAATGCAGTTCATTTTTGCATAGCTGTTTTGCACGGATAATCATCATTTTCCAAAACACTGACACGTGGCGTTTTTTTTTGGACGACTCAGCCTCAATCCCATTAGATGTGCCAGTCGAATTCCTGTGTGATATTTATTACACAGTGTACTAGAACCTAGCTCTAGCTCCGATTCTGATAATCTAGTGACAGTAGTACTTCATCGCCCTCTTTGCTATTTTTATTGCCAAACAATACAGCACATTGCCAACTGATTACTTTAACAAACACGATGCCTCTACTCGATTAAGATCCGGTTTTGTATGACACACGGTGCACTAGTTCACCTGCAGTTGGCGCTGAGCCGCACACGAAAGCAAAACAAACAGAACAAACATGTTTCGAAATGATTAGCGAAGTTGATGACGCAACTCAAAACAGAGAGTCAGGTAGTCAGGAAGGACCCCAGTGTCATCCATCACAAAGCATAGCATGATAACAGGATACATAACTGATTCCGCTTTCGTTTTCAAATAACTATTAAGTAATCTTAAACCAATACATTGGGCTGTTCGAGAGGCGTTATAAATCTAGTTGTTTTATTCCATTTTTGGGCGCAAAATATAATTAAGGTAATCAGTTCACTTGACATTGAACTGACATTTCGCTTCGAAATCTAGAAGTTCACGTTTGACTCACAACTACTTGTGAGAAGTGGCGTGAGATAACAGATACTGATTTGAACTGAGTATCCTTCACGCACATTCCTCAGTTCCCTTCATCAACCATACACTCCAAAGCTCTAAATTCATGTTTCGTTCTTACTAGAGCTCATCATTCCGAATTTTGAAGTTCGGACCCATCGCATGGAAGGTGTATTACCACTGTGCCAACCAACTCATACCATCTGGGCTAAACCGAATTGGTAATTCATGTTTGTTCAGGTGTCGTCTTCAGTGATGGTCCGTCAGTTCAGTGTTGACTCGACAGCAAAGATTGAAAGCCTCACACCTGCTGTGAACTACTTGGCACAGTGCTAACACACTCCTTCCTTACCATGGGCCCAGAGTTCAAAGCCCGGACGGTACGGTGGATATGCACTAATGATGAGAGTGTAACTCGAATCTAGTGTTTCCGAATGTATGGTTGACGGAAGAACTGAGGATTGTGCGTAAAGGTGAAGTCCGAAGTATGATCAGTTTAACTCTACCCTAGAAGTTTTTGATCATCTGGACATGTTTGTACAATGAGATTCATTAATCGAATTTTTTGCGTTATGATGTATTTGTTTTATCTCAGTGATCGAGAGGATTAAAGAAAATGGTAATATCTCGCAGCGTGTTTCTTTTCCTGTTCTTGATCTGATGGAACAAGGTAACTCGTTGTTTCATATTTCCCCGTGATAAGGAATGCGATGCGATCACCCGTTATATTTGAAAAGCATTGCTGCATGCCATTTTGCAAAGATTCGTAGCGAACCGGGCGATTCCATGGGATAGAATCCTCGGGGACATTGAATCCCGGGGCGGGAAGTGTTCCAAAGCGATTTGGAATGTACCGCTACTTTGATACCATTTTCGAGCATTGCAAGGTACCGAAAATCATTGCGAAAAGGGATCACTGATGGTGAATACAATCCGTCAGAGGCGCTTTAAAACCCATTGATTACGCGTATGAACACCCACAAGTGTTGGTCAGGTGACACGCTCTTGTGCACAATTATCTCTATGGTATCATGAGCCACGATGACGACCCAGTGACCTCAATTGGGGCTCGCGCTACTTGCCTTGTCTATACAGTCAGTGAATGTACGGACGACTGCTCCCTCCCTCACCCCAGTTCAGCAATGACACCAGGAAGCAGGGAAGCGGACATGCAAATGACATTCATTACATACCATTCTCACGGTTAATCAACCGCGCATAGTGTGTGTGTGTGTGTGTGTGTTCAGGTGTCCCGTATGACATACATACCCGTCGTCACGTTTTGGCGGATCCGAGTGAATGATGGACAGAGCTTAATGTTCAGATGTAAATACGCGATGAGAACAATCGATCTATCGTATTCAATCGTCAGCGAAGACGCAAGTGTTCGGCATATGATTTGGCATATCTGGCAACATCTGTATATTTTAATCCGAAAATTGCTCTCCTGCGTTTGCCCTTTACGAAATCCCGAAAATTGATACGAAGTAACGACTAAAACCGACACTGTATTTCTGATCCATGCGTGAACTGACAATTCTAGCCCCTAAGACCTAAGTGAATTTGTATGGGATGTCTAATTCTGTTGGATTTAACGGCTACACCATCTCCCCGTTTAGCTTTAGCCAGAATTCGCAACCCTTTGACTTCGACCAACAATCCTTCATTTTTGACTGGCAATCCGAATGCTGAAACATTTTATTTTCTACACATTTTGATGTTGGAAAGTCTGGTTAAGAAATGGGAAGGTTTGACCATCGTATGTTGCACCATTTGATACATCTCTTGCAGCTTCAGTATTTCCGTATAATATGCGATACGTTTGTGAGTGAAGATCTCAAATGTACCACAAACGGTACATTGCTTTGAATCCACAAGCATTGGCATAAATCGGAAAGTGATATCACAAAAGAAAAGCGAAGGCTTACTGTTCCGTATCTTCACCTACAGTGGATGCCGTGGATACATTCACAGTCGAAGGATAACTAAATATCACTCGCAAAAGTACACCGTCATTACTATCATCAGTTTATTTACGCTGTACCATTTGGCGTACCTGCGACAGTTGTGATTCAAGATTTAAGAGCATAGTCTAAATCTTGATAGGAAAAGGTGTACTAGACATCCGCACAACCATCTACCCACAACCGATCATTTAACCGGGTCTCTAAGTGCCTGTTCACAAACCACTCCTATATCTTGATCTAATTATTAGGACAACATATTCTTGAGATTATTTATCCGGTTTTATAGCACAAGTGTAACTGTGCGAACAGTTGAATCGTGATAGTGATTGTCCTGCCTGGTAAATGAATGTGAAGTTTTCAATCGATCGATGAAAGCTGATGCACTGACCCGCCTGTGCGAGTGGTTAAACGATAATCGCAGCAGTACTTTTCAGAGCACGGATGAAATTAGAACCGATCACTGTTCAAAGGATTACCCCGTAGCAAAACAACTTTCGTCCCTTCAAAGAGGCTCAGCTACAAGAATGTCGTGTCAATGACCCAGAGAGCTGACTAGAATTTTGCTCATGGTACCTGGCACACTTGGATGTGTGACAAACAGTTTCCACGGATGAAGCCATTTTCATACGAACGGAAATGTAACAAATTCCATTCGTTGGGCAGATGAAAACCCAAGATATTGTGTTGACAGAAAATCGATTCATAGTCTCAAGGGATTAGTATGGGCCAGTTATTGTGCACGGCAAAATTGTCGGACGGAAACTCAACATATAAGTACTATTTCGCTGATTACATTGTTTAGGAGGCCTCATAACTGCAGATATTACAAGATAATGTGGTGCCTGCTATCTGGCGTATAGAAACTGAAGTTGGTACCATAGTTTAGTTTCAACATGACGGTGCACCGTCGCACACTGTTCTGGTGTTGAGAAGTTTCCGTGATTTGGAATTTAATTGCAGACAGATTGTCCGAGGATGAGCAAACGGATGGCCTCCAGGATCACCTGATCTATCTCCTTTGGATTTCTTTCTGTGGGAGTGTCTAAAGCGAACCGTTTATTCCCGAAAATCAAAAACGATCGAGGTGCTAAAGGAGAATGTTGTCGCTAAGCGCGAAAGTATTACGATTGCTACTATTCTGAAGGTTGAAGAAAACTATCTTCACCTTATGTTGCATTGCAAGCAGCGGGATGGAAAACATGTTGAACAACTTTTATTGAATAAATATATATTTTTCCATAATATGTTTCCGTCGCTCTGGACTTCCATCTCCGCCGTAATTAGCAAGATCGTTCAACGCGAAAAAAGCCAGTGAGTAAAATTCTAGGAAGAGTTTTGCTTTGGCCTATATTAATGGATATTGTAGTCCGTACTTAAGACAAGTTTAAAGTTTAATTATGATTATCTGTTTACCGAACCCGCTTAGAAAAAATAATACATGTATCTTAGACGAGTAAAACGGTGGCCCAGTGTCATCATCGCTTGAACTTTTTCCATTCCGCAATTTCCCACATAGTGCATCGTTCCATAACTGATTCTCCTGTGGTGATTCTTTACCAACACTTAAGCAGCATTGAATTCAGAACTTATCCGCCCCCCCCCCCCCANATCACACGACCTATCGGGTTCATTTATCGATCGGTCCGTCGGTTAGTTCAAGGGACCTGGTGCTTGCCCAGCTAACCCGAACGAGAAACCACACTTTTTCACAGCCGCAAATCTTAGACAGGTCCAGTGAACTTCGACTGTAAGGCAGGCGTGCCTTCACCACACAGATGAACTAGGCGTGGCAGCAAGAGCATCACAAAATGTAGAAGAATGTGAAACGATAGGGTAATCGCGCTATCGTACTATCTACATAGCAACATGAAATCTTAAATTGATATTCGTGCATCTTAAATTGAAAAAGGTAAGGAGTATCTCTGATCGCGAATGTGGATAAATAAACTGTGCTTAAGGTAAAATTTGAAATTACTTAACTCGTTGATTTTGGTCTGTCCCGATATTCTCTTACAGCCAAGGAATACACACATTCACGACCTTCGGTATTAAAGATCCCATGGGAAAACCCTGGATGGAACAAAGACTACGCAGTAATCATGACCTTTAGTGAGCATAAAACTATTATTCAATGCTTCCTTAGTCTGTATGACTACAGGGATAAAGATAGGGGGTATCCTTGGTTTTGGACGCGTTTGATAAGCCTGGAGGGAGTGGTCATTGCATCGTTCCATGTGGCAGAAGAATGGATTTGTCTTTTGTTATACTTGCACTGGATGTCTTCATATGTCTTCATAAACACTAACCGGCTCTAATATATATATTCTCAAGTTTACTTGATTGAACAGTTGCCATCCATCTCGGCAGCTGCTCATGTTATCACACAATGTATACCTTAGGGGACACCGATTTAAGTTACTGCTTCCAAAGTGTCGACTGGAATGCCGGTGCTAATCTTTTGCAGTCAGGGTATGCAGTATTTGGAACACCCTTCCATCTCACGTCGTTTGTGCACCAACTATTGAATCTTTCAAGCAGAGCCTCGATGAAACCTTGGTACACCTCACGTTCCTACACCATTAAAGCAAATGCAAATTCATTGAAACCTATATTCTCTATAATCTCCTACCTGGACCCGTATGTGATTGTGTTCGCCGTGAAACGACTCAATTGTGTAAATGTCGTATGGGGACAAGAGAAGCATGAGCTTGTAAGTAAGTCCCCTAATGAAACTTTGACTTTGACTTTGATATGAAAGCGGCTGTGGTCTGGTCCAGAGTACTCACGCCAAATTCATGTTTGTAGTGTTCCTCATGGATTTCAGGAACAGGCCATATTTCCTCCCCGTCTTTGGGTTTATATTTATTCGTATGAGTTACTCCCGTTTCGCAGACCCCTTGTACTGCTTAATGAACAAACAGGCTTAAAGAAATACTATAGCGAACGAATGGAGAGTGTTATTTTGTGTTCGATTGAGTAAAGACAGTCGTAAAAGGAAAAACGGTAGCATGAGGGATGATACTCTACGGGTTCATTGATATCTTTTGAGAAAGAATGCGACAAAAGCGGTACTTAAACAATTGGGAGATATCACTTGGTAATAGGATCTTGATGTCATTGTGTGGGTCCAAAGTACAAGCAGAGTAAACTGTCGGAGAACCAGGTAAGTTCTTGGGTACAGAAGACATGATA